TGGGATAGCTTGTGGGACCAAAGATGACTTTCCGGGGCTATGGATTATGGGTCATGTCACGCATAAAATGAATTCCTGCAAAGTAGGCTTGAATGACGCATCCTAATTGGGTATTTTGGCGCGGTTCGGCTTGGTGAGGGCAGCAAACGGTTCCTAGGAGCGCTGTTTCAGGATACCTTGTGGAGACTTGTGAATTCCTGTCACCAAAAGGCTCACTTACACAAGTACACAAGTTCACAGGAGTTTACAGGTCTCACCAAAGTGAACTGGTAACTTAACAAGGAATCAATCAAGAGTCCAAAATGCCCCTTCCAAACAGAACAACGCCGGGCATTCTCTCCTCATATAAAGATGTCGGCCATTACGAAATTGTAGTACAAATGGGATCCTCTGATCCGTAAAAGTACAAATTTAACATGCTGACGATTCGATTAGCGCCTCTAAACATCCTTTGGACCAGACAACACGACAAAGCTATTTTTGCACGAGGAGGGTTTTTCTGAATAAACGCGTTCGCGTACGATTTAATCAGCCTGTCGGAGTGCGATTTACATTAAGATCACTCATGTACGCATGTCCAGCACTAATTTATTGTGTCATGTCTTCCATTCCAAACTACGAAACTCAACGAAAATGGGCCCTGCTCGGGGATGGCAATAGATCTACCTTTACTTCTGATCTATTGATTTCTAGGGCAAAGTCTATATCGCTGCGGACGAATAGGCGTGCCAGGCGGGATGAGCTTGGCGCGGTGCCAAACCCGTTCTCCACCAGTTGTTGAAGCGAGCAAGTGACAAGACTGTATCATTTCATTCGTACCACTCTTCTACAACTCTTGTCGCCCACCCGCTTCAACACTGGCGGAGAACGGGTTTGGCACCGCGCCAGACTCATCCCGCCTGTCACGCCTTCATCCACAGAAAATTAGAGTATGCTTGGGAGGGAACATGCGGCGAAGCGACCATGTCACGTCAGTTCCATCTTTCTGCTCCCTCTCACCAAATAGTGACAGGTTAACCGTTGCTTATTCTTCGAGAAGAGGTGGCAAGACAAGAAAAGACAAGGCAGACAATGTATAAAGTTGTGTGACTCCTCCCAATTGTCTATGGCCCTCCCCTCCCTTTTTCGTCCTACAAGAATAGCGCACTTGCAACCGTCGCAACCAGTCCGGATGATGTGAGGAGGCAAAGAATGTGCCCTCCCGCAGGGATTTCTAACCCTTCCAGAGGGCAGCAGTAACTGTTTTGTAAGAATGCTGTTACCTGTGCCATAAATCAGATGTCACCTGACCTCATGCGAGTATTTGGTCAAATGATCGAGGATGTTTCGTTTAGACAGCCGTTCGTTCGAATGCAGCGCGAAAACCCTCCTCACTGGCCCAAACAACTCCCGAATGTCCGCTTCGTCGGTCCGCTGATCACATATGGACAATCGTTGCGCCTTCCTCACTTGGCACCTGAAGACACATTCCTCGATTACGTGATTTTT